AGCAGCAGGCCCAGCAGGTGGCCACCTTCCGCGAGGCCCCCATACAAGACAAGGATGCCAACTGGTGGTCGCGAGTAGTTCAGGTTTTGGTCAAAGTTACGAGACATCGCGAGCGAGGTCATGGAGCACGTCAGCTCATCTACCTCCGTGAGCTTGGCAACAGGTTCGGTATTGATTATTCTGAGGGAACTCATGCTGCTCTTCCGTCCAACGATTGTGAAGACTGGGAGCACTGGGTGATTTTTTTATGCAGCAACTTCTTTTTTTCCTGGGAGAAACTTGGACAGTTTTTTGCAGGTAGCACAGCGCGTTGCGAAGCGTGCTGCTAGCAGAGCTCTTCGACACTCCTTTTCAAAGCTCAAAGAATGGATTTCGTCGGCCGAAGCGTCTGGAGTGCTACACAAGAGCAGCAAGGACCTGCCGACAGTTCAAGACGGATTATTCCACAATGGCGGTTTTCTTTTCCACCCGAAAGATGTGATTGATGCCAAAGCGACTAAGTGGCATTAGTTGTGGTACGACCTTGATTTCAGCATCGACGAGATCTGCGCCGCGTTCACCAACATCAGGGAGTGGGCTCGCGTACGGGGGCTAGCTCCCATCGGCGGCGACGAGGTGAGATCCGCGGCTGCACGCATGAAAGCTAGAGCAGGGCTTGGAGTTGACCAGTTGACACCGTTGGATATTCAAAGATTACCGCCCGAAGGGCACGAAGCACTCGCAGGTATCCTCAACCTGGTGGAGGATACAGGTACATGGCCGACCCACTTGCTGTGTGTTTTGGGACGGCTACTACCCAACAAGGCAGGTGGGGACCGAATCATAGGTTTGTTGCCGATTGTTCGTCGTTTGTATACCCTCATTCGGGAGCCTCACACCAAGTGCTGGTCGTACGAGACGGCCGCGGAGTGGGATGCTGCAGTTGCTGGCAATTCGGCTTTGCAGGAGGTGTTCTTGAAAGCAGTTGATCATGAGTTGTGCGTCAAACTTGGTGTATCCAGTGGTTGTGCATTATTAGACCTTAAATCATTTTATGATATGATCAGGTGGGGCAAGCTGTCCGACGCGGCTGTTCGACAGGGGTTCCCTGGTATTGTGTTGCTGTTAGAAGTTCAACTCTGCGTGGCGCCCAGAATGCTGGCGCAATGCGGGGCACACGCTACACCCTTCCAGCCCACCAGGAGCATCATCCAAGGATTGAGGCATGGAGTGAGATTCGGGAGGTGCCTCACTCACTTCATCTTGGACAGATTGTGCACGGCCAGGGTTGCTTCCGCCCACTGGATATGGGTGGATGACCTGTACATTGGACATGAAGGATCTCGGGCTGCCGTGCGCAAGTTTATCATTTCAGGAGTCGTTATGGTCCGAGATCAGGTTGCAGGAGCTGGCATCCAACTGGCACCCAAGAGCGTGATCTTGTGCGACACGATGAGCGACAGCAAGCATATTCCCCAAGTTCTGCGGAGGAAAGGTATATATATATATATATATCCAAGCAGTGTTGCAGGTGAGTGATCTCGGAGTTGATGTGGGAGGCGGACGCAGAGTAGCACGGTCTTCCCGGCAGGCCCGCACACTCAAAACTACCGCCTGCAACAAGAAGTTAAGACGCCATGCTTTCGCTTCTAAGTGCTACGAGACGACGAAGAAGATCGAGTTTGCGGGGCCGCAAGCTGCTGCGACATACGCCCATCATGTCCATGGCGCATTCGGGTGGCGTCTGCAGCGGCTGCGGAGGCAACTCGGGTCGGTATCAGGGGCGCATCAGAGAGGAAGGTGTCTGAAGACGCTACTTGATGTTCGCGCCCCGCTCCAGGGCCCAGGAGTGCGGTTACCGCAGTTATGTGTGAATCAATGGCTGCGGACTTGGATCGATCACCCTCGCATTCGAGCAGGTGTTCGACGAGTGTGGAGTGGAGTCGTACAGCATGTGCGTGATCTTGATATCAATGAGCGAAGCAGGTGCGTACACGGGCCAATGTCAGCAATTATTACGTATTTGGTGGATGCAGGATGGGGCCCCAAGTCCCCATCGCACCGGTGTAGACCCGACGAGCATGGGCTCGAACCAGTTGTTTGGATCTTCCCCGACAGCGGCATCGACCAGCAGCATGTCGACACGGCCGACCTGCTGCACGACTTCGGGCAGAGCTTGGACCTCCAGCAGTGGAGAAAGGCAGCTCTGTTGCATCACGGGGCTGGTCTGGAGCAAGGAGCAGACAACGATTCCCTTCGGCGTTTGCTTCCCAGGCTCCGTGCTGGACCACATGGCCATCAACTGGCGGAGCTCATGCTGACGATCAGTACTGGGGGCTGTTGGACACGTTCAAGGAAGTTCGAGGTGGGGATCAGCAAGTCCAACTTGTGCCTGCGATGCAAGCAGGCACCAGAGGACATGAGGCACCGCGCATGGTTATGCAGTGCCAACGAAGATTCCAAGGCGCATGTTGACTCAGATAAGCTGGTGCCAGCCGCTCTGACGCAGGGTGACAGTGAAGAGTGCCTGTGGTATCGAGGCTTGATCCCACGGCATATGAAGGCAGCACCAGCAGCATCCATGCAAGAAGAATGGACAGGGGTTGACCTGTTCCAAGGCGAGATCGGAGCTGAGCGTCTAGGGATTGGTTCGATGTCCCAACCTCTGCTCGTGTTCGGTGATGCGTCAGATTGCCCAGAGAGTCGGTTCCCAACGCTGAGGAGAGTCGGCCTGGGCTTGGCAGTGATGACCGATCCGATCACCATGACCATCGGGCCCAAGATAGCAGGACCGCTCACAGGACGAGCCCAATCAGTACCGCGAGGAGAACTACGGTGCTTGGAGCTCGCCATCAGGTGGTCAGCTGGCCCGACAGTGTATATTTCTGACAATGAGAATGTTGTGCGTGGATGGTACGCCCAGCAGTACCTGAACCCTGGCAGGAGTGAGATGAGTGGACTACGGGCGGAGATCGGGGTCCTGGTTAAGCACGGGGACCCCAGCGAGATCGTCGTCCTGCACGTCAGCTCCCACCAGACTGCCAAGGATGCTTCCGAGAAACAAATCCCTGAGTGTCTTTTTCGAGGCAATGAAGTGGCTGACGCCATCGCTTCTGGTGCCGCTGAGAGATGTAGGTTGCCAAGTCGTGTTCTTTCCAGGATCGCAGAGGTGGAGGAGCATGCTGCTTTGATTATGATTTCTGCGCCTGAGCCTGGCGGTCGTGCCCCGTTGGTCCCTGCCCCGCCGCCACCCTCCCCCGCGGTCCTGGCCAGGTTTAAGACTGCACACACGATTAGTGACTGTGGTTTGAAGTGTACCACGTGTCGCAGCAGTGGCACGAAGGCCACCCTCCACGAGTAGTTAGGCTCCCCTTGTGAACCCCTAGAGCACGTTGACTCTGTAGTCTCCAGAGGACCGCGAAGGAAGCTGCACTTAGCTGGGGGGTGGGCTCACGAATCTCATAATATGCTGTTTCACCAGTCACTCGGGGTCTGGATCTGTGGGGTTTGCGGGTTTTTCTTCTCGGCCAACCTACAAGCGGGGCTCAGGCAAGAGTGTCTTGGTTCCGGTTCCCTCAATGATACGAGGCGGTCTTATTTGGACCGATTTCATCGAGGAGTTGTCCCCATGCCTTTAAGCGCAGCTGAACGGGCTGCGCGGCGGAAGCCTGGGGGTAGGTGCTCTCTTTCATTGACATCGTCATGGTGCTATCCCTATCCCTATCCCTCCTCCTCTTCCTCCTCCTCCTCCTGTCCTGACCCCATCGCTTCTCCCCCTCGGCGTTCTCGATCCAGGCCCCTCGCCCTTCGATCCTAACTCCTCGCTCGATGCTCGTGGCTCCATCGTTTCTCCCCCCCGGCGTTTTCGATCCAAGCTCCTGGTTTTTCGATCCCAGCTCCTTGGCCGATGCTCCTGGCTCCATCGCTTCTCCCCCTCGGCGCTCCGGATCCAAACTCCTCGTTCTTCGACGACCCGAACTCCTCGCGCTATCCTTGTGGCTCCATCGCTTCTCTCCCTCGGTGTTCTCGAGCCAAGCTTTCCGCTCTTGGATCCCAGCTCCTTGCTCGGTGCTCCTGACTCCATCGTTTCTCCCCCTCGGCGCTCTCGATACTAACTCCTCGCTCTTCGATCCTGACTCCTCGCTCGATTCCATTGGTTCAATCGTTTTTCCCCCATCGGTGCTCTCGACCCTAACCCCTCACTCTTCTATGGTCTCCCGGCAGCATGTGGCGTCAGAACGCCGCGGCAGCGAGAGGCATCACCCTGAAACATCAAGCAGCAGCAGCAGCAGCAGCAGCAGCAGCAGGCACTGGCTTGGTATCGCTCGGACGTGTGTGTGTGTGTGTGTGCACTTTTTCTCGGCGGGGATCATTGAGGAGCATTTTTGATCACCCCGCGGAAAGGAAAAGCCACGCACGAAACCGAATCCAGCACAGGGAATGGACGTCCGAGCGATGGCCACCTGGGCAGCAGCGCGCGGGCAGCAGCAGCAGGCAGGTAGCGGGCAGCAACACGCACAAAGCAGAACTGGCCAACCGTCGCTTCTCCTCCTCGATCTCCTCGGTGTTCTCGATCCTGACTCGTCTCTCTTCGATCCTCTCCCGGCAGCATGTTTGATCAGGACGCTGAAGTAGCGAGGACCGTCACCTCGCAGCACCAAGCAGAGCAGCAGGCACAAAGCAGAACTGGCCATCAGCAGCTCCCTGAATTTACCAGCAGAGACAGCAAGCAGCGGCGGTAAGCGCTACCGCCAGCACGCAGCAGCGGCAGCAAGCAGCAGAACGTAGTGGCAGGATGCGCAGAGTTCGAAATTTGAGCCCCGCGTCATCATGTCAGCCTTTCGGCAGCATGTCCACCTCCACATGCCAGTTCGTACAGACTTCGTGAACGTAGTCCACGGGTCAGCGCTAGTCAGCTACAGCGTTGGGATCAGCGCGTGCGAGAAGGGCGAGCAGTGGCAGCTGGCCCTGGCGTTGCTGAGCGAGATGTGGGAGGCGAAGCTGGAGCCCGACGTCATCAGCTGCAACGCTGGGATCAGCGCGTGCGTGAAGGGCGAGCAGTGGCAGCGGGCCCTGGCGCTGCTGAGCGAGATGCGGGGGGCGAAGCTGGAGCCCGACGTCGCCTCTCCTACAACGCCCGGACCACCGCTTGTGGATCCCGGCATCGGTGGCAGCGGACTGCCCCTCCCCCCCCGCTCCGGGCAGGCCCCCGGGACCCCAGGCCGCTCTAGGCGGCCGGCGGGGCCGCCGCGGTGCCCCGATCGCGCAGCGGCCCGTTCGAGCTTGCCGACGGTCGCGGCGGCACGCCCCGCAGACGGCTCCGGGCACTGGGCGCCCCCAAGCCGCCCCAAGAGGCCCCCGAGAGGACCCCCCAAAACGTGCGAATCGGTTCATTCCTCTGGGAAGACGTGCGTTTCTGGCACACTCACTGTCTGGGTCGGCGCAGCTTCCAGAGGGCCGAAGCGACCCCCCAAGACCGCCCCAGCACCAAGACTGCCGACGACGGCCTAAAGACGACCCCACAGGGCTCCAAAGGAGGAGCAGGGTGAGCAGGTACATTGGGGAGGGCGAGGGGGGAAGAGGGGAGGAGGAGCAAGAACGCAAGCGAATATCGCGTGGACGATGACAGAGCGGGAATGAATACGACGACGACGACCTGGCCAGGACGGCGACGAGGAGGGCAGCAGCGGAGGCGGCAGCGCTGGGGGGAGAGCAAGGACACCAGGCTCAGAGCATCGACGAGAGCCCAAGAGGGCCCCCAGAGGCCCCCTCGCAGCCGAGGGGCTGACAGCCATGTCCATCGCCTGTCGGCAGCCCGCCGCTGCCCCGAGAATATGTTCGGCCAGACGTCGCGGACAGAGTCCACGGGTCAGCCCTAGTCAGCTACAATGCTGGGGTCAGCGCGTGCGAGACGGGCGGGCAGTGGCAGCCAGCGGCGGCGCTGTTGATCGAGATGCGGGAGGCGAAGCTGGAGCCCGACGTCATCAGCTACAGCGCTGGGATCAGCGCTTGCGAGAAGGGCGAGCATTGGCAGCGGGCCGTGGCGCTGTTGGGCAAGATGCGGGATGCGAAGTTGGAGCCCAATGTCATCTGTCCTATCAAATGTCATCCGTCCTACCATACCGGGAGCGCCGCATGGGAAGTGCAAGTCGTGGCGCAGCAAGGTGGAGTACGGGGGGCGCGGGGAGTGTTTGCGCCGTCCAGACGGCCCCAGCGAATCCAAGAGGACTCAAACAATCGAAGATGTTCTGTATATGTCCAACGTTTTCAGCATATGCGATGTTTGGGCTCTTGCAGCGTCCATGACGGCCCAACAGCCCCCCAGATCGCCCCAAGCCGGCCCAAGAGGCATCCAAAGAGAATCTCAAGGCGGTTCGAGAGAACCCCAAATCAGCCCAAAACGGCCCAAGAAGGGCCCAAGACGGACAAGAGAATACAAGACGACCCAAGATGGCTCAGAGATTGCCCACTCGAGCCCCGGGTGCATCCCAAGACGGCCCCATAAGCGCTCCCAAAGAGCCCGAAGAGGCCTCCAAAAAGATGCTACAGCGCACCCCCTTGTTGTGGCATCCGTTGGGTGCTTTCCGAAGGCCCTCTTGGGGCTGTTTTCGGGCCCTCTGGAGCCCGTCCTGGGGCAATTTTGAGGTCCTCCAGGTGCTCCCAGAACGTCCTGCAAGGCTGCAAGACGGCCACGACAGCTGCAATACAGCTCAGGGACAGCCCCAAGACGGCCCACGAGGCGCCCAAGACGACCCAAGGCGGCCCAGTGATGGCCGAGGAGAGCCCAAAGAGCCTCCCAAACAGATGTTGCAACGCACCCCTTGCTCTTTTGCATACGTCGGATGACTTTTCTCAGGGCACAACAGCGCCGGCGGCGCCGCGTGCGGGCAAGGCGGGGGACCCAGCGGCTCAAAATCGTGCCGGCCGACTCGGGCGCGCTCCTGGGCGGCCCCCGGGGACGTCTCAGGAAGCCTCCGGCGGGCCGCAGGGTGATCCCAAGACGGCGTCTAGACGCTCGGGAGGCCCCAAGGCCGCCCAAGATGCCTCATCTTAGACGCTCCCAGATGCTTCGAAGGAGGCTCTCAAGAGGTCCCCAAGAAGCACACATCGTCCCAATCGATTTTCGGACAACGTATATTTTCCTGTTCTCGCGTTTCTCGTTCCCACGACGCCCACGACGGCCCCACCACCCTTTAAGGTTGCCCGAGCACAGGCCCGAAGGCCCCCCAGGGGGCCCAAGACGCCCTAGGACGGTTCCAAGACGGCCCATGAGGTGCTCAAGACGGCCCACCAAGGCTCCCGGGGGGCCCGAAGAACGGCCCAAGATGGCCCACAGCGGCCCAGCGGCCCCAATACGGCCCGAGAGCAACCCGAGACAGCCCCAAGACAGCCCACTCGGCGCCCGAGATACTGTACGCCCGCCGCCGGCCTGGTACCCTTTCTGGCGCCGAACCAACCCATCCAGATACCAAGCCAGCGGCCGCCGGCTTGGTACCCCGCCGGCTTGGTACCCCCCCGGGGGCTCCTCCCTACCAAGCCAGCGGCCGCCGGCTTGGTACCCCGCCGGCTTGGTACCCCTCCAGGGCCTCCTGCCTACCAAGCCAGCGGCCGCCGGCTTGGTACCCCGCCGGCTTGGTACACCCCTGGGGGCTCCTCCCTACCAAGCCAGCGGCCGCCGGCTTGGTACCCCGCCGGCTTGGTACCCCTCCAGGGCCTCCTCCCTCTTGGTAGGGCCTCCTCCCTACCAAGCCAGCTTGGTACCCCGCCGGCTTGGCCACCTTTGGTAGCCGGCCTCCCTCCCTACCAAGCCAGCGGCCGCCGGCTTGGTACCCCGCCGGCTTGGTACTCCCTACCCAACCCCGCCGGGGCTCCTCCCCTACCAAGCCAGCGGCCGCCGGCGTACCCCGCCGGCGGTTGGTCCACCCTCCGCCCCTTGGTCCGCCGGCTTGCTTGGTCCCGGCCGCCGGCTCCTCCCTACCAAGCCAGCGGCCGTCGGCTTGTACCCCACCGGGTAGGGCTCCTCCCTACCAAGCCAGCGGCCGCCGGCTTGGTACCCCGCCGGCTTGGTACCCCTCCAGGGCCTCCTCCCTACCAAGCCAGCGGCCGCCGGCTTGGTACCCCGCCGGCTTGGTACCCCCCGGGGGCTCCTCCCTACCAAGCCAGCGGCCGCCGGCTTGGTACCCCGCCGGCTTGGTACCCCCCGGGGGGCCTCCCCCCTACCAAGCCAGCGGCCGCCGGCTTGGTACCCCGCCGGCTTGGTACCCCCCCGGGGGCTCCTCCCTACCAAGCCAGCGGCCGCCGGCTTGGCCGCCGGCTTGGTACCCCTCCAGGGCCTCCTCCCTACCAAGCCAGCGGCCGCCAGCTTGGTACCCCGCCGGCTTGGTACCCCCCCAAGGGCTCCTCCCTACCAAGCCAGCGGCCGCCGGCTTGGTACCCCGCCGCTTGGTACCCCTCCAGGGCCTCCTCCCTACCAAGCCAGCGGCCGCCGGCTTGGTACCCCGCCGGCTTGGTACCCTCCAGGGCCTCCTCCCTACCAAGCCAGCGGCCGCCGGCTTGGTACCCGCCGGCTTGGTACCCCCCCGGGGGCTCCCCCCTACCAAGCCAGCGGCCGCCGGCTTGGTACCCCCCCGGCTTCGTATCCTACTGGCCTTCGGCCCTTCCCGCCATCGTGCCTGGGTGGTGGGTCAGAGGCCTCATGGATGTTGGTTGGGATCTCGTGGTTGGCCTCTCGGGGGCCTCTTGGAGGCAGTTTTGAGGCATCTTGGGGGCTGTTTTGGAGCTTCTTGGGGCCTCTTTTGGGCCTCTTGGGAGCCTCTTTGGGGGCGTCTTGGCGGCCCCTTGGGGCCTCTTCGGGGCCTCTTGGGGTCTCCTGGCGGCCTCTTGGGGCGGAAGGCTCGAGCTTTCGGTCTGTGGTCCTCCTCTGGGCCCTCTCCTGGGGCCGTCTTGGGGGCCTCTTGGGCCGTCTTGGGCGCCTCCTGGGCCGTCTTGGGGCCCTCTTGGGCCGTCTTGGGGCCCTCTTGGAGGCCGTCTTGGGGCGGTCTTGGGGGCCTCTTAGGCCGTCTTGGAGCGTCGGAGAGCCGAAGAGGCGGGAGGGCCAACATCCTTCAAAAACAAATGGCAATTGTCGATTTGGACCTCTTGGGCCGCTCTTCTGAGGCCTGTTGGCGCCGAACCAATCCATCCAGATACCAAGCCAGCGGCCGCCGGCTTGGTACCCCGCCGGCTTGGTACCCCCCCGGGGGCTCCTCCCTACCAAGCCAGCGGCCGCCGGCTTGGTACCCCGCCGGCTTGGTACCCCTCCAGGGCCTCCCTGGTACCCCTCCAGGGCCTCCTCCCTACCAAGCCAGCGGCCGCCGGCTTGGTACCCCGCCGGCTTGGTACCCCTCCAGGGCCTCCTCCCTACCAAGCCAGCGGCCGCCGGCTTGGTACCCCGCCGGCTTGGTACCCCTCCAGGGCTCCTCCCTACCAAGCCAGCGGCCGCCGGCTTGGTACCCCGCCGGCTTGGTACCCCCCCGGGGGCTCCTCCCTACCAAGCCAGCGGCCGCCGGCTTGGTACCCCCCCGGCTTCGTATCCTACTGGCCTTCGGCCCTTCCCGCCATCGTGCCTGGGTGGTGGGTCAGAGGCCTCATGGATGTTGGTTGGGATCTCGTGGTTGGCCTCTCGGGGGCCTCTTGGAGGCAGTTTTGAGGCATCTTGGGGGCTGTTTTGGAGCTTCTTGGGGCCTCTTTTGGGTCTCTTGGGAGCCTCTTTGGGGGCGTCTTGGCGGCCCCTTGGGGCCTCTTCGGGGCCTCTTGGGGTCTCCTGGCGGCCTCTTGGGGCGGAAGGCTCGAGCTTTCGGTCTGTGGTCCCCCTCTGGGCCCTCTCCTGGGGCCGTCTTGGGGGCCTCTTGGGCCGTCTTGGGCGCCTCCTGGGCCGTCTTGGGGCCCTCTTGGGCCGTCTTGGGGCCCTCTTGGAGGCCGTCTTGGGGCGGTCTTGGGGGCCTCTTAGGCCGTCTTGGAGCGTCGGAGAGCCGAAAAGGCGGGAGGGCCAACATCCTTCAAAAACAAATGGAAATTGTCGATTTGGACCTCTTGGGCCGCTCTTCTGAGGCCTGTTGGAACGTCTTGGGGCCCTCTTGGACGCCTCTTGGGCCGTCTTGGGGCGTCTGGGCGGCCTCTTGGGCCGTCTTAGGCCCATCTTGAGAGTCTTGGAGCGATCTTTGGGCGTCTCGGGGGCCTCTTGGGCCGTCTTGGACGCCTCTTGGGGTTATCTTGGCCCGTCTTGGGGCCCTCTTGGGCCCGAACCAGTCACGCGACAAGTTGCCGGGGACCCCAGGGGAACGGCCGGGAGCCCCAGGAGATTTGGCAATTTGGGGTCTGGTCCCCTAAAAGACTCCTCAGGACTGAGGACTGAGGCCCAGGGGATGAGGCAGAGGACCTGAGGACACGCCCACTCCGTGCCCAGAGGCACGGTGGCGGATGAACATATACTTATGTATACATATATGCCTACATATACACATACACACAACTATATGTATAGATATGTATGCATGCACACATAAATATGTACATATGTATATATACATACATATACACGCAGAGAGAGAGAGAGGGAGAGGGAGAGAGAGAGAGAGAGAGAGAGAGATAGAGATGCAATTCTTGACGCTTCGCGTGCCCCCACCAGCCCATCCAGTAACGATCGCCAGGCGAGTTGCCTTGATCAGGGAAGTGTAGAAGCATGCAGTGGAACAACCGCCTTGGAAGTGTTTCGGGGGCGCTGAAACGGCGGGGACATGTGTTGGATTATTTTACCGATGTTCCGCACTTGGCTGGTGCATTTGGGCCGCAGGAGTGGTTCAGGGGTTGAAATGGAGCGCGGCCCAAAAAGTACAAATCAGAGAACGGTCCAAGATGCCCCCAAGATGGCTCAATACGATTTCGGGGCGGCCTTGGAAGCCCTCAAAGAAGCTCAGGAGGGCCTCCAGAGACACCCCTGAAGGGCCCGACGAAGCGAAAATCTCCAACGCTCGTGAAGTTCTCTTGAAATTTTAGCGTTTCCACATTTCTCGTTGTGGACACGTCAACGACGGCCGAAACTGCCTCAAGAACC